ACGAGAATATTTGACTCTATCATCCTCTTTAGAATCTTCTAATTCGCTTCTTTCTGTTTCCTCTTCTGAAACCTTTTCTTGATCAGCGCTTACATCTGCCGCTCTAGAATTGTTTACCCATTCGTAACCTTTATTTGCAGTTTGAGAATCCTTTACTCCATTGCCTTTGGGTTCAGCTTCAGAATATTTATTCTTTACATCTGTATCTTCATATTTTCATTAGCAGTTTCTCCTTGCTCCAATTCTTCCTTATTAAGGTCCATTTCTAATGTAATTCCATCACTTGCCTCATTGACTTTAGTTTCATCATCATTAGTTAAAGTATCTTTGGCATCCGCAATTTCAGTTTCATGTGATCAGCTGTATCAATAGCCTCTTCTTTATCTTTAGCAATATTTGCCCCTTTAGATTCAACTTCATTTTTACTATTAGTTGAAAGAGCATCTTTTTCCTGCTTACGCATTACGCTAATTTTATACTCTATGTTAAATCTTTCCTGTATGTATATTTCACAATTCACGAATTCTCTATCAATTTCTTCATCAGAAATTTCTTGTTGGGATAACAATATAAATTGGTACTGCTCATTCAAAGCTACAATCTCATTATGCAAACATTCAAGCTGATCAAACTTTGCATAAACCTTATTTTTATCAATGCAAGACTTTTTCAATTCTGCATATATATCATTAACTTGTTCGGTAAATATATCTCTAACAGTTCTTCGTCTCTCGTTAACCTCCTCCATCTTACCAACAAACCTATCACGTCCAGCTCACCAGTAATGTAGAAAAGAAAAAAAATAAAAAAGGTGAAAAATGGAGTGGTTCACCAGCCGTGTACGCGCAATTCGAGGAAATTCAAAATAGACCCAATTGGTATAAAATATAACTTTTTATTTTGCCTATCTGCAAATCTTGATCTTAACAGGTTTTATTTACATATATACATTCAACTCTTAACTTCTTCAACTTTGACTTTAACTCTTCTTTAACTTTAACTCCTTACTTTATCCTCTTTAACTTTAACTTCTTTGAGTACTTTAACTTCTTTGAGTTCTTTAACTTCTTTGATTCCTTTCTTCTTCTGAGCACGAGTATTCCGTCTCCTAGGCTCTAATATCTTCTGAGCACGAGTATTCGATCTCCTAGGCTCCAATATCTTCTGAGCACGAGTATTCGATCTCCTAGGCTCTAATATCCTACTCAACCAGATTCCTATCAATCCTCTGCTACTCTCACCAACTCTGCTAATCCCCTACGACTATGCCCTGTCCTCGCAGCGACTATGCCCTGTCCTCCCATCACCACTTTGTTCACCTTCCGCCTCACACCTTACTCCGATCTAATACCTTCTCCCCGCGACTTTCTCCCCGCGACTTTTATAGTCGTATAAAGGGTCACGTGGACGGACTCTGTGGATCCACTCTGTGGCGCATCCCGTGATGCACGCCATCTAGAGCCGTTTTCCTCTCTCTGAATCAAAATCTAAAATTATACATTTCCAACATACTCCCACCTTTTTGTACGGGAATACAATCTCGGGGAGAATCCTCTATAAGACCAGTGTATCTTAATAAAGGCTTTTGTGTGTGTGTGTATGGGAATAAAAAAACAAAAAACAAAATGTAATAAATCTTAATCAAGGTCTTCTTTTAAAACCTGTTTTTCATTTGTAATTGGTTCTTGTTTTGGCCATTTGTCCTCTGATTCTCTCAAGCACTGGGGTCCCTCCCACCAGTTTTGTCGAGACAAATTGTACGATAGAGCACCCCGAGAAGGCAAATCCCTTGGATTCGATTTTCCGTAAACAAACTTCCAGTTTTCATTATTGACAGTGTCTCGTATTTCCTGTACTCCTAGCTTTGTCTTCCAGAGAGGCAACACAATCATCCGTATAGAAGGACTGACCCAAAATCATTGCCATCTTTCCTAGAGAACCTTTTATCGTTTGAAGATGATAATTACGGCATTCTGCAAAAATGGACTAGAATTTAGGTCGAGAACAAGCCCTTTATGCCCAAAAGCCATCAGTTATCTATCCTCTTCTTCCAAAGAAATCTGAGGTAGTCTCGATCATTCTCCTTAATGGCTATCATTTGGAAATATTTTCTTATGTCTGCTAAGACCCCAAACTTATTTTCCCGATATTTTATCCTTATTTCAGGGATTCTTTGCAGTAGATTGGGCCCCTTTTCTAAATACTGATTCAAGGAGAGTCTGTTGTGTCCTCGACAGGAAGCGTCGTCAAATACTGGCCGTTAAGGCGTAGTTTTGGATCCACACTTAAATACAGGGCGATGAGGAAAATAGTATCCTTTTACTTCAGGTGGATTTTCATTAACTCTTTCGATGAGCCCTTCCTTCAACCAATCTTCTCTCCGTGAAGGCGGTGCATTATCGCAAATATCAGGTTGATCCAACGCTTCAATCTTAATTGGTTCCGTTCGCTCATTCAATTTTTCCAAGTTCAGGATGAATCTTTCATGCCTTTCCTCTTTTACTTTTTTGGATTTTGTTTCACAATCTTCAGTTTCCTCATCTTTAGATTTATCAGTACGAGAATATTTGACTCTATCATCCTCTTTAGAATCTTCTAATTCGCTTCTTTCTGTTTCCTCTTCTGAAACCTTTTCTTGATCAGCGCTTACAGCTGCCGCTCTAGAATTGTTTACCCATTCGTAACCTTTATTTGCAGTTTGAGAATCCTTTACTCCATTGCCTTTGGGTTCAGCTTCAGAATATTTATTCTTTACATCTGTATCTTCATATTTTTCATTAGCAGTTTCTCCTTGCTCCAATTCTTCCTTATTAAGGTCCATTTCTAATGTAATTCCATCACTTGCCTCATTGACTTTAGTTTCATCATCATTATTTAAAGTATCTTTGGCATCCGAAATTTCAGTTTCATGTGATCAGCTGTATCAATAGCTTCTTCTTTATCTTTAGCAATATTTGCCCCTTTAGATTCAACTTCATTTTTACTATTAGTTGAAAGAGCATCTTTTTCCTGCTTACGCATTACGCTAATTTTATACTCTATGTTAAATCTTTCCTGTATGTATATTTCACAATTCACGAATTCTCTATCAATTTCTTCATCAGAAATTTCTTGTTGGGATAACAATATAAATTGGTACTGCTCATTCAAAGCTACAATCTCATTATGCAAACATTCAAGCTGATCAAACTTTGCATAAACCTTATTTTTATCAATGCAAGACTTTTTCAATTCTGCATATATATCATTAACTTGTTCGGTAAATATATCTCTAACAGTTCTTCGTCTCTCGTTAACCTCCTCCATCTTACCACCAAACCTATCACGTCCGGCTCACCAGTAATGTAGAAAAGAAAAAAAAAATAAAAAAGGTGAAAAATGGAGTGGTTCACCAGCCGTGTACGCGCAATTCGAGGAAATGCAAAAAAGACCCAATTGGTATAAAATATAACTTTTTATTTTGCCTATCTGCAAATCTTGATCTTAACAGGTTTTATTTACATATATACATTCAACTCTTAACTTCTTCAACTTTGACTTTAACTCTTCTTTAACTTTAACTCCTTACTTTATCCTCTTTAACTTTAACTTCTTTGAGTTCTTTAACTTCTCTGATTCCTTTCTTCTTCTGAGCACGAGTATTCCGTCTCCTAGGCTCTAATATCTTCTGAGCACGAGTATTTGATCTCCTAGGCTCCAATATCTTCTGAGCACGAGTATTCGATCTCCTAGGCTCTAATATCCTCCTCAACCAGATTCCTATCAATCCCCTGCTACTCTCACCAACTCTGCTAATCCCCTACGACTATGCCCTTTCCTCGCCGCGACTATGCCCTGTCATCCCTTCACCACTCTGTTCCACCTTCCGCCGAACACCTTACTCTGATCTAATACCTTCTCCACGCGACTTTTTCGCCGCGACTTTTATAGTCGTATAAAGGGTCACGTGGACGGACTCTGTGGATCCACTCTGTGGCGCATCCCGTGATGCACGCCATCTAGAGCCGTTTTCCCCTCTCTCTCTCTCTGAATCAAAATCTAAAATTATACATTTCCAACAATATAGGAATGTAAGCTTTACCCTGTTATAATGAGCCTTGATGTTCATTATAGAAATTTGAGACATTGCATGAATCCATGAGTTGAAAATATTATTCTATTATTCTATAAAAGAAAATCACTGGTTCATTGAAAAGAAAATTTCTTAGAAAGTGCTTCTAAGAAATTTTCTTCTCAATGAACCAGTGATTTTCTTTTATAATTCTCCAAATCATTTTTTTCTTAATTAAAATTTGTTCCATATTATTATAAAAAAATTCAAATATACATGGCTCAACTATTTATGCCAAAACAATCCAGACTGGCTATATAGCCACTAATATGTACACAATCATCAACTATAATTAAGCACAATTTAGATTATAGATTATTTCCTTTTTAAAAATTGATTTTAATTTTTTTGTCTGATGATGGCAACAATTTTGTTACCAAAACGTGACACACTAATTTATTTGGATTAGGTCTTATTTTCTTGAAAATCTCATTATAGGACACTAGTTACACAAGAAAAATATATAAACTGAGAGCATCTAATTATAAATGATCAAATGGCAGCGAGCACTAACTTAATCGTTTGATATCTTTGCCTGAAGATGGTAACAATGTTGGGCCGTTTTCACCAAAAGAACCCAACAATGATGTAAACATCATATATTGTAAGTTTGCAATAGCCTTTCCGAAGTTTTGTTGTCCAGAGGGAGGATCTGGACAAGCTTTCTGCACTCCGAAGCCCGCAGCAGTACTGAATATTATGACCACTGCCACCTCTGGATTTGCATAATTATGTACATATTGTGATTATGTATCATAAATGATTTTTCTATATATATATCACTTATCCCTATATATAGTCACGACCGTCTTTCCTTATCGGCCTCTCTGTCACGGATGCGCGCGCACAGGGAGGTCACGTGCTCGCCGGCAGCCAAAAAAAAAAAAACTCCCTCGAGCCAGATTTGAACCAGCGACCTAAAGATCACCGTTGTAACATCTACAGTCGGGTAAAACATCCCTATATATAGTCACGACCGTCTTTCCTCATCGGCCTCTGTCACGGATGCGCGCGCACAGGGAGGTCACGTCAGTCCTCCGCTCTGCCAACTGAGCTATCGAGGGATACAAACTGTATGAATAAGTTTACCTTATAAAGTCAACTAATCCTATTTCTACACAAAATGTACTTATACATATATTATATTATATTATATATATATAGTCACGACCGTCTTTCCTTATCGGCCTCTGTCACGGATGCGCGCGCACAGGGAGGTCACGTGCTCGCCGGCTCCTTCGAGCCGGATTTGATCCAGCGACCTAAGGATCACCGTTGTAACATCTACAGTCGGGTAAAACACGGGCGTTGCCCGGGTCATTTGGCTAGTTATAAATATGTACCATAATTCATATCTTTTTCTATATACAGGGTGATCCAAAAGTCCCGCACAACTTTAAAAATTAATAACTCCGCAAATATTTGCGCTAGAGCAATGCAGTAAACACCATTGTGTTCAGGATGCAATGGGATTTTTTATGACAAATAATGAAAAGTTCGAAATTGATTTTAGTTTCAACTTTATTCGCTAGATGGCGCTCTACTAGAATCAGCGATTCAGCGGCCAAATTGTTTGATAAATTGAAAAATATAACTGAACGACACGTATTTTTCCTTTTTGAATACCAGGAAAGAACACTAATAATATCAAATGATAAATTAATAAAACACCATTTCGCCAAAAGTTAGAAGAAATGGTTAACGATTTTTAAATACAATCTGAGATATGTAAAATAGGTATATGCAAATTAAAACATGTAGCAAAAAAAAAACCTGATATTTTAGATGCGGTTTGCTGGAATCCTCTCAGCTATTTAAATTTCGAAAATAATAATTTTATATATTTTTTAATTCAACTCTCTCTCAGTATCGATTATATTTATTTTAATTCATTTGAAAAATATGTATCTATCTCTGATGATTTATTTTACTCTGGAATGCCGTTGTTGTTTTTGTCGTGTCCAATAAAGAGCCTCAGATGTCTCCATGCATTTCTATCACAGCAGCAGCAGCAGCAGCATTGTCCACTATCTTGGGTGTGTAAAGCAGCTGCTCTGGGTCTATGTCAATTTTCTGCAAGGCTGCGGGCATGAGAATATGTGGGTAGGTGTTAATTCCACACCAGGACAGTTTTTGCATGTTCTATAGGTTCTTGTGCCATCTGGATGTATTGTCATTCTTTATAATATTTTGTTCTAAATCTTGTTATAGTTTTGTCATTTTTCTCTTGGAGTTTATTTCACATTTTGATCTTTTCTTATTTTTTGTTTAATTATCTTGTATTTTGCAAAAGCATTTGCGTCAAATAATGACATTTGTTCTTTCCTTTGGCTCAACTTTCTGGCTTCCTTTGCAAATTAATCTACCATTTCATTACCCCCGATCCAAACACTGGCAGGAATCCATTGTCGAATGAAGTTATTCTCCAATGATATCAGTTGAGTAAGTAACGAATGTATTTTCTGTGTGATTATAGTATTGCCCTTCTGAATTGCTTCTAGATCGGATATGAAGTCGTTGTACGGTATATTATAATTTCTTCTGCTTGATGCAGAGATGGTTGGGTAAGGCATACATCAAGAGCTTTCCAGATAGCTGTCAGTTCACAAGTGAAGTTTGACGAAATCTTTCTTGCTCTTTCTTTGCTTTTGATGTATGTTCCATCTTGCAGTATTATGTTAATTCCAGCCCCTCCATTACTTATGGTAAGGTCTGATGATCCATCTGATCGCATAAACCAATTGTGTCAAGTCCTTTCTTTTTAAGTATGTTTTTGTTTTCTTTTTTTATTGCAGAGTTCATTAAGGTTAAGATTGATGATTACATTTGATGGCAATGGGGTAGGAAATATTGGTTATTCTCGAATTTGAAATTCATTATGTTTCATATTTATGCTCTTTCTAATATTGTTGTCGTACAGAAGTGTTGAATATCTTTTGAGCCTTTCTTTTTGTGTCCAGTTTAAATAGGTTCCATGGGATATGTGTTCAGTTTCTTTAGTTTTTAAGCTATTGGTGTATTTTAATGTTTTCAATTGTCTTCTGCTTTCAAGTAGGTCTAGACCACATTCTCTCTGAATTTTCTAATTGTTGGTATTTGAAACAGAACCAGTGATTAATTTGGCCGCTTTTGCTTGAACACTGTCTAGTCTTCTTTTTAGTGATGAACTTGAGGGAGCCCAGACAGGTGTTGCATATTCCATTATTGGCCTCATTAAGATGGTATATGTTGTTCTGAGAATTTTGGGTTTTGCTCCCCAATTTGTTCCACATAGCCTTCTCAGAATGTTTAGGTTTCTGGTAGCTCTATTTGAGATGCTAATTATGTGTTCTGTAAATCGCAATTCCTCATCAAGTATTACACCTAGGTAATTTGGAGATAAAATTCTAACAATTATATGGTTGTTTTTGCTTATTTTGGAGTCAAATTCATGCCTTTTTTCCTGTCAGTGAAGGAGACCTATAGGTTTGTTTTTATTGGGTTTATTGTCATTTTGAATTTCATTGCCCACTTCTCCAGTCCTCTCATTGATGTGTTCAGTATTTTTCATATATTTCTATACTTCTACTTGTGTGCCATATAGCTATATAATATGCATAACAGGCAACTTTTGTGTCTTCAGTGAGGATGGATGTTGTTAAGGTTGTGTCGTAATTAGACGTACAACAACTCAAACTTGACCATGACTCTTTTTTTAGCTCTTATTCTTTTCGTTTGGCCAACAAAAAATGTCCAATTTATATACACATATATTCTTACATAATGAGACTTTAAAGAATGCAAATAATCTTCATATATTCACATACACAACACATCTCCCCCCTTAATAATACTCCAGTCGGTCTGGGGGTTTCCTGGCTCTCTGAGGTCTAGGACTGCGGACGGGCACTTGCACAGCGGCAGGCTCCGGTTTAGGAGTGCAAGAGGGCACGTGCACAGAAACAGGCCTTGGTCTAGGAGTGCAAGAGGGTATGTGCACAGAAGCAGTCTCCTCCTTGTTTCCTGATGTAACCTCTGGAATTTCCTCTTCACTTTATTTCTGACTTCCACCTACAGGCTTCTCTCCTGATGTTCGAGGAAGTATCAAATTTCTTGTCTCCACTTGTTTCTTTTTCACAGGTCGCAATTGATTGATATGCCTCTTATACACGAAGCCCTCGCAACTTATAAGGTAGTGACGGTAGCTCAATAATATCAAAATGGTACCTTTTTACCGTTTAAGTCCAGTTGCATAGTTGCGGAAATAAACCTCGCAACCTGTAGTAAACTGCTCCTGCCTTCTTATGGCCTCATGAAATACCTCTCGCGGATTTCCCATATTGGTATTAAATTCGAGAATATCGATCATAAACTTCTCTTCATTAGCAGTTCCGCGGGGGAATTCCTTTATTACAGTTTGGGGGAATGCTCTATGAGCAAATAGGAATCTTTGTAAATTGGTCTCTAAATCATCCTTCCCATTATTCTTTCTCAAAAGGTTTTTAAACTCTTTTACATATCTCTCAGCTAAACCATTTGTACTAGGATTATACGGACTGGTCTTAGTGTGCCGTATACCATTCATTTTGGTAAATTGCTCGAATTCACAGGAGACAAACTGTCTTCCGTTATCTGTTACAAAAAAAATCGGGCAATCCAAATCTGGCAAAAATTTCTCTAAGATGATTTATAATCGTTTTGCTTGTAATATCTTTGATGATAAAAATTTCTATCCACTTTGAGTATGCGTCCACGAGAAGCAAAAACATTCTTCCCATGAACGGACCCGCTAGATCAAGATGAAGTCGATGCCACGGTTTTTCGGGCCAGGTCCATTCCGAGATGGTAGCCGGGGGCATGCTTGCCGATTCTTGGCATACTCTACATTCTCTAGTTAACTCCTCGATGTTACTGTCTATGCCTGGCCACCAGAAAAGACCGTCTGGCAATTATCATCATTTTAACAATCCCCATGTGTATTTCATGCAAGTCATTTAAAATTAAAGATCTTAATTTTTGGGGAATTACCATTCTTTCACGCCATTGAAGACAACCAAACTCCAAACTTAATCCCTCATTGATCTTATAATGAGGAGCTAGCGGGTTTTCTCTCGGTACCCTTGTGAATTTCCACACACACACAGTTGCCTTCTCTAACATTCCTTAATACTATAGACAGTATTTTATCTTGGGGCGTCTCATATGCCACCTCCATAAAAGAGAACGGTACCTCATTCAACTTCCTGAGAAGAAGCACCTGGTCTTCATCAAGAGACTCCCTGACACTCGATTCTAAAGGAAGACGTGACAATGCGTCAACATTGGAATTATCACTAGTTTTCGAAATTCCACAGTATAATTAAATGCAGCTAATTTCAAGGACCATCTTTTAATTCTGGATGATGCACATATGGGAATGGTTTATGAGGTGAAAATATATGAATTAAGGGTCGGTTGTCTGTGCCCAATACAAATTTTCGTCCCAATAAATATTTTCTGAATTTCTCAACGCCAAAAGTTATGCTCAACGATTTTTTATCTAGTTGAGAGAAACGTTTTTCCGCTTCTGTTAATGTTCTAGAAGCAAAAGCTATAGGGCATTCTTCCTTTCTATCATTTCTATGACTCAGAATTACGCCTAGTCCATAGTCCATTAATAATGATTTGCATTTTTCAAGTAACATTCGATATTCTTTCGTCCAATTCCATCTACAATTTTTATTCAAAAAAGTTGATAGAATAGCGCTAAAATGTTTGCTATATTCTTTATGAGTCTACAATAATAAATTAAGAGTCTTATGAAAGATCTTAATTGCGAAACATTCTTTAGGTTCAGGCGCCTCTATCACTGCTTTAATTTTATTTTCTAAGGGATGCAGTCCATATTTATCCATTTTAAACCCTAAATATTCCACCGATTTCTTTTTAAATTTACATTTATATCTGTTTAACTTTAAACCTTTTTTCTAGAAATCATCTAAACACTAGATCCAACTTTTGTTCATGATCTTCAAAGTCTTTTCCTGCAACCAAAATATCATCTATGTAGCAGGCCACACCTGGCAAATCAGCAAATAGACCTTCC